CCGCCACGGCGGGGCTGGAGGCGGCGGAGGGACGGGGCGCCCCTGCGAGCGGCTCGGTGCGACGCGGGCTTGCCGCCTCTCGGCAGCCCCGGCCCCTGGCAGGTCTGGTCGCGGGTCAGGCTGGAGGCAGTTTCTGGAGGGGCTCGGCCGAGTGTCCCGGCGGCTTTGGTGCGGAGTCGTGCCGGTATCGGGCTAGCAGCCTTGCGGGCGGTCCTGCAGCCCCGGCCCCGGGAGCGGTGTGCCCTCTTTCTCCCCTGCCCCGGTCTGTCCACCGGGGTTTGACGTGGCAGCGCACAGTGCTTGTGCCCCCGGTGCCAGCGAGCTCCCTGCGTCGTCCACCCAAGCCGTGTCCGTTAGTAGTAACTCATTGCCTGGCGTCTGTCTGTGCGTGCTTTGCCGCCTGGGAACTAAATTGCTTCGGAAATAAAGCTTTGCTCAACTCCTAGTCCGGAGCATCCTGTTCGCATCCCTCCCTGGGAGCCAATCTGGTTGGGTGTAAGTCCCTTTCCAGCTGCCAAACTCATAGACATTGCTCAGCAGGTTCTAGTGACTCCCTTCCCAGCTAATTTGGCAACTGTTTTCTTACATAGCGATGCAGACGGTACTGACAGTGTGAGGTGCTTGCCTCCTGCAGCAGGAAAAAATGGCATTGGTAGTAAGTGGGTGTATTGGTTAGTTCAGGCAGCTGGTACCGCACTAATAGGACTGCCACTGTGGGGAACATTACATTGCCCCAGAGTCAATTGCTTGGCCCCACTCAGCGAGCTTTTTGTGAAATATATAAAAGCCTGTGCTGGAAGGGAGCAGTTCCTCCACAAGGCAGGGCTGTGACTCTTGGCAAGAAGAGAAAACAGCGCTTTGCTACTGTTAGATCTTCTCCACGGGCAGGATTGTCCCCTGCAGCCGCAGTTTAGTTTTTGTTCCTTTCAGCTGGAGGCTGGACAGCCCCCTGTGGTTTCAGCACAGCTTCCTGTCCCTGGCTACCCTGTGCAGTATGTAGCCCAGCAAGTCTAGGCTTGTTGCTCTTCTAGTCTCAGCTGCCTTGAAGGAGACCCACCCCCTTATTTAGACGACAGCACAATGTATGAATGTGTTTTTCTTACAGCTGGAAAGCTAGTAGGTGGTTAACAGGGGAAAACGTTCCGCAAGTACCCTTTTCTCACTGCATAGCTCTGCTGCCCGGGAGCTGAGCTGACAACTCAGAACTTCCTTCTGTTGGCCTTTTGCCACCATAAGCACCGCTGTGGTTAGGAGCTGAGCTAGAAGGCAAGGAGAGGGTTGTTGCCTCTCCTGATGTGCAAATCAGTGTCCAGAGGAAAAGGAAGTGCTCTAGTGTTGGCAGCCCCATTTAGTCTGCCAGAGTGCTTGGTTTCCTGCAGGCTCCAGCCCTTTCTCAGTGATCCTTAGACCAAATCAGTGGGAAAACTACTTCAATATTAGCTATACGATCTCTGTGCAAAGCTGGAGCCTGTTGTGGTTGCAGTGAGCTTGAGGAGTACCCAGGCCTTTCTGTGACAAGCCAGAGTCTGGCTCCAGCCCTTCCTGGGAGAGTTCTTCTGAGAATGTTGTGTACAGACAGTCCTGATCAGGTCTGGTTCTCCAGAACTGCCAGGTCAGAATCCAGCTTGCTGTACTTCCAAGAAGTCAGTTGCTTCCTTCCTTATGTCTGTAGTCCTCTCCTGCAGAGAGAAGGCAAGGATATGGAAAGGTGTCAATGAAAAACTAGTGGAGTGAGGGAGGGTATCAGGAGATAAAGGAGAGGAGGCAGCAACTTTTATTCCCAGTCCCCTGTTCCTGTGCACACTGAGTAGATGGAAGCTGCTGAATAGGGTAGGAATGGGGTGCTGTGGGTGGCATTGTGGGTAATAGATGGGCGAGGTGGTAAACTTCTAATCGTTTGCTGGCCTGTGCCTTTTTGAAACTGGAACTCTCTCTCTGTGACTGTTAGACTGGCCCTATTCTTTACCAGTAGTAAAAAAAATCCCCCCAGAACAGTATTTACTCTCTGTGTCCCTCTCTAGTTTTGTCCTCTGGTTTTCATGATGTGGGATGCAAACAGCAGAAACAAACCTGGAGTAAGTTCCAGTTGAGTGTAGGAATGAATGGCAGAAGAGGGTGTGACCTAACACAGTATATTTCTGCCACTTTCCCTGTCTCTGAAACTGTCAGCACGAGCTGCAGAGTATCTGGGCAGCTGATGCTTATAGAAGTCCCTGCTGGCACAGCATCTAACCTTTCTGTCTTGTTTCATTCTCTGACCAGGCAGAAGATGGGAACATCGAGTACAAGGTGAGCCTTTTGAGGTTGCAGAAGGAGGTTATTTTGCAGTGAGTAACTTCACCAAAGACAGCATATGGGCAACGTGTCCGAGAAAGGGACAGAAAAGTGGACACTGTAGTAAGGAACTGTCAGTCATCTTTTGTGTCTCTGTGCCTAGCAACACCCAGTACGTTGAGCTGGAAGATTTTGATCTCATTACTCATTTTTAGGAATCTGTTTTAGGAGATGAGATTCACTGTGTTTTTCTTGAAATCTTCATTTTGAGAGGCACTGCAGGTGTCCCTGATAATCTTTTGTCACTTCCTTGTGGTTGCTCTGCCATTTACACTCACTTGGCTCCTGTGTCACAGATAGGTCCCACAGTGCTGTTTTTACCTCCACAGCAGGCAGAGTAGAGATCCCTTTGTCAGAATGCAGAAAAATTGTTCTACCATATGTATGCACCTTTGTGAAACCCTGTCTCACCTGTCCTATGGCTTCTGTGCAGATACTAACATGGGCTGGGTTTTCTAGAGGTGGATCAGTGTTGAGGCCATTGCTTTATGGTGTTGGGTTAGGGAGTTGCTGGCTTGGGCAATGGGATTTCTTCTACATCCAGGCTGTGACTATAACTAACCCCTCTGTTAAACAGCTAAAGCTGGTGAATCCCTCACAATATCGCTTTGAGCACCTGGTGACACAGATGAAGTGGCGACTGCAGGAAGGCCGAGGTGAGGCTGTCTATCAGATTGGCGTGGAGGACAATGGGCTGCTGGTGGGCCTCTCAGAAGAGGAGATGCGTGCCTCACTCAAGACACTGCGCCGTATGGCAGAGAAGTACGTATTCCCTTTCATCTGCACAAACAGCCTCCAGTAGAGGCTTGGCCCCAGGAGTCCCCTGATGAGCCAGTGGCTCCATTCTGCAAAGCCCCTGTATGACTGAAATTACCTCATTGTGAGGCTCCAGAAATATGAAGGCAGTTATAGGGCTTTTGGCTGGAAAGCTTGAGGCCCCTTCCCTGCTATCCCCAGCTTTCATCTCATTCACTTTGCTAGCTGTGATTCTAGAGGTCAAGAGCTGCTGAGTACGAGTGTGTCTTACTCCTTTCTTTCGTGTTCGTGGCAGGGTTGGGGCTGATATCACGGTGCTGCGGGAGAGGGAGGTCGATTACGACAGCGACGTTCCGAGGAAGATAACAGAGGTGCTTGTCCGAAAGGTGCCTGATAACCAGCAGGTAGGAACCTGCAACTTGGCTGTCCTCTCCTGCTGGAGACTTAGAGGCTTCATACCAGCAGTTCCCTTTTGGGATGGGAGCCCAAACCCTAGAGGGACTTACTTTGTCATAGATTGGCCCATAGCAGGTGCTTTAAAGAGCTGCCAGAGGGAGACTTGATAATACTTTTCATCTCCAAGATTGTGGTTGAGGCAGATACCAGTAGGGAAGATTGCTTGGATCAGAGTTGAGAAATTATTTCACTTCTACAGCAACAGTTCTCATGCAAGCCAGTGTGCAAACATGGAAGGATTTAGAGTTCCTGCTGCAGCAAATTACCTTTTTTGTGATATCAAAGCCTGGTGTGTCACATCACAGTTTGCCAGAAGCAAGAGCAAAATGAGCAAGATTACACCGCAGTGTCCATTGTGGAGGGAAGCTCTCTGAGACACATCTCCATGTAGTGATCATGCACACCCAGCACAGCAGCAGTTAAGTTTCATGATTTCTCTGTTCTTATTCCTGTAGTTCTTAGACCTTCGAGTAGCTGTTCTGGGGAATGTGGACTCAGGGAAGTCAACTCTGTTGGGTGTCCTAACGCAAGGAGAGCTGGACAACGGGCGGGGAAGAGCACGCCTCAACCTCTTTCGGCATCTCCATGAAATCCAGTCAGGAAGAACGTCAAGCATCAGCTTTGAGATCCTAGGCTTCAATAGCAAAGGAGAGGTGAGAGAGTGGGCTGCTGAGCTTGAAAAGCTGGAGAATAGGACTACTCTCCTGTTACAACTGTGAGTGGGACACAAGGGAAGAGAGGTGGCACAGCTGTCTGTTCCTTCAGCTGAACCTGAGTGCTACTTGTCCATTTGCAACAGGTGTTATTTCTTGCACCCATGGTGAATGATCTCTCCTCAGTGATTCTGAGGTCAAAGTG